TTATTATCAGTAAATCTTTGGCTTGTATTCCTATTTTATCTGCCTATATACCTGAGATATGTAAACAATTTCTTGGGCAAAAAGGGTTTGTGAGGACAGGCGTGGTAGCACACACCTTTAATCCCAGCACTTGGGAGGCAGAGGCAAGTGGATCTCTGTGAGTTCCAGCCTGGTCTATAGAGCGAGATCCAGGACAGGCACCAAAACTACACAGAGAGATCCTGTCTTGAACCCCCCCCCCCAAAAAAAAACCCCCAAAACATACAAAACCAAACCAAAACAAATAAACAAACAAACAAACAAAAAACCAAAACAAAACAAAACAAAAACTAAGGCAGGGCTTGTGAGTGGGAGAAGTTTAAGAAGCCCTGTTTGGAGTGGAGAGGTGCTTCCCTAGAAGACCTGGGATTGATTTCCAGAACTATATGGTGACTCATACCACCTCTAACTCCAGTACCAAGAGAGTCCCATGCCCTCTTCTGGCCTTTGTGGGTACCAGGCACACACATCGTGCACAGATAAACATGCAGGCAGACACTTATATACATAAAACAATAAATTTTAAGAAAGAAGCCCTGATATATAGGGTAGAAATAACTCTACAATAGCTAGGGAGCTGGCTCAGAGGGCAAAGTGCTGTGAGAGCATGAAGACCAGAGCTCTGAACCCATGTATAGCAGGTGGGTGTGGTGGCCTACCTGTAATCTGAATGCTAAGGGCGCAGACACAGAGGAGTAAACTAGGGAGTGCTCTTGGTTCAAGTGATGAGACCTCAGTCTAGAAGCTGGAAAGTGATCAAGGAAGATACTACAAGTCAACCTCTGGTCTCTACACACATGTACATACAAATACAATTGTACCCACCCTCACATGCCCCAACACAAGTGTGAACATGCATACACCCCAAAGGTATATGTATACACACACACACACACACACACACACACACACACACACACACACACACACAAAATAAAGCAACAATACCCAAAAGTCCAGTGTACAGCTGGCAGAGCACTGTGTAGAATGCAGGTTGGTATAAGTAGTCAGGAATGCTTTTCCAGATTACAGAGGGAACCTTCTGGAGTGTGCAGTCTGCCAAATGGACAGGGCACCCTGCAGGAGCACACAGAATTGGGCTGGGCTCCCTGCAGTGTGTGGTTATTATTAGGCTATCTGTAAAGGAGGGGGGTGCAGCCAGCAAATCAGAAGAGGTAGCTACTGGTCTGAACCCCAGCCACCACCTGCTCTGTTACACAGCCTTAGTCTGCTGTGGGAGGTGAGAGCCATTAGGCCCTGAAACCACACTCTTGGGCCTCAGAAAGTCACACCATTCTGCACAAGGAACATTTCCTCCCTCTGCATCTTTCTAGAGTCCAAGATCATACTTGCCTATTTTAAGTTGTGCCTACACATTGAGGGATATGCCCACTTGACTGTTTCCTACCAGGAGTCTTAAAGTGCCAGACCCTAGTTCATCTCTTGTCCTTTTATTAATTTTTTAGGTTTACTTTATAAGCATGTACACACATGCAGGTGTGCATGTCTGGAGGTCAGAGGCCAGCTTTTTTTGAGTTGGTTTTCTTCTTCCACCTTTATGTAGGTTCCAGGAATTAAATTCAGGTCATCAAGCATGCATGGCAAGAGCTTCCCCCGCTGCTCAATCTCATCAAGCCCTACCTCACGCCCTTTTGAAGCATCACCCGGCTGCGCTAGGGTCTTTGGTGATCTGGGTTCTGGCTGACGGTTGCTCTAAGGGCCGAAGAGCATAAATTCTCAGGCACCAGAAGCAGGGCCCACTGGAGGCTGCCTGCTTTGCTGTGAGTAAAGCAGGAGAGAAGCAGCTGGAAGGAAGGATCCGGTCAGTGGCAATTGCTGTTGACCCAGCGGCATCCCGTGCTGGTGGGCCACCAGATACATGGCCTGTCTGGGTTTTCCAGTAAGCTTAAGATCGTGTACATCAACAGAACTCTTCATATGAGCAGCCAGTACACAAGGGTCACTGGGTTTACATCTGCTTGTGCTGCCCCCACACTGGAGGTGGCAAGTTGGAAGCCTGAGATCTGGAAGGGGTCCCCCGAGTTCTAAATGACAGGAGAGTTCTCTGTACAGGAAGCAGCTTAAAACACAATGGGCAGGACAGACTGTCCCTTGGTGGCAGGAAGTGGCACAAAACCCCTGGATGACGCTGTGTGACTCCACAGCCTAAATATAAACATGACCCTGAAAGGAGCAGGAATCAGACACCGTCCAGTATGAAGATGGGATGTGGCACAAAACAGGGGCCTAGGCAGAATGGCAGTCACATGTCATAGCACCCCAAGAGCAAGTCTGTGTTCAGTTCATGTGATAAGATGACTTCTCTCGAATTGCCATAATGGTTTGAGAAACGACTGAAGGAAAAGGAACCTCACTTCCTAGTTGCCAACACGGGGTTTTAAGTATGTTCTTCCCACCATCCCACATGCTTACTGGTCCAGCATGTAGATGAGCGGTTTCTCATCCAGGGTTGCCCATGACACTTTACCTTTCACCTGTGTGGAGGCTGACTGCTGGACAAAGTCAGTTTCTAAGAACAGAGAAGTGCACAGAGGCCTCCAGCTATTGGATGAGACTTCTGAGGCCCATGACTTCTAACTTCCAGGCTCATGTGTTCTCATAGGTTTTACCATAGTCCACACAGTCACCTACTAGATTGGGTCATTTGAGGCAGGGAAACAGGAGACTTGAGAATCTGCCTTTGCTGTGTAGTGAGGGGAACCTGGGGATGTGGGGCTTTGGGAATGGGTTGGATGGCGGAAGGACAGTGAGGTACCCATAGATAGGCCTAGCAGAAGTGCTCACTGTGTGCTCAGGTACAGAACCCACATGAGATGGGAGGATAGGCAGACACTGAGCCTGAGAGCTTTCCGTGATTTGGTAAATCTATATTGCATTTCAATAAACATTTAGGTCAAACCAATATTGGCAGTAATGGTTCAAAGCTACCTTCTAGCCATTTAAAAGCCCACTGAGGTGAAACAGCCTGCCTGGAGTTGCCTCTCAGTGCTTTGTGAGAAGTGGGACAAAGAGTCTACAGGTCTCTATAAGCAGGGCCTTACTTGCTAGCTCACAAAAAGAGGCCACCCATCCTGTGCCTGAGATGGCCAACCTCCACATCTTCCTTGCCCACAGAGGAAGACAGTACAACAGTAACCCTGGAGTACAGGCTCTTCAGGGATCTTGGGAGGCTATACTCTTTCATGTTCAGTTCTTGTGTGTCTGATGATAACATCTGTTGTAACCCAATTCTGAAAATGAGCCTTTCGAATTTGGGGAGAACAGCACCTCCAGTCTTCCAGGCCTGCTTTGAGCTGAGCACTGACTTATCTGCAACAAGTCTGTGAATCAGAACTCCCTAACCACTGCTAGACCACGAGGCGATGCTAGACCACGAGACAAGGGAACACGAGGCTGGGCTGGCATGCCACCATCTCGCAGTATGGGCTTTGGTGTGACATTTAATTGGAGGGGGGGGGGCAAAATTCTGGACCAGATGGCATCTCCCTCTACAGTTCACCTACAACATTCTGCCTTGCCCACCTCCTCAGACCAGAGTGTGGGGCAGGGAGCAGAAGAAGGGGAGGCAAGCCAGGCATGGTGGTGCATACCTGTAATCCCAGCACTCGGGAGCAGAGGCAGGTGGATCTCTCTGAGTTTGAAAGAGATCCAGAACAAGTTCCAGAACAGCTAGGGCTACACAGAGAAACCTTGCCTTGAAAACAACAACAACAACAACACCCCCCCCCCCAAAAAAAAAACCCAAAACAGCGGGGGAGGGAGAGGCAGGTACAAAGGTTGGAGCACCACTCTGGCTGCTGGGAGAGTGAAGGACATGGGGTCTTAGAGACAAGTTGGGTGGGAGCCTAGGTTCAGCAAACCCAGATCTGGCTTCTGATCTGTCCCTTGCTGCAGAGAGGCCCAGAAAAGTCACTTAATGTTATAGGCTCAAGTCTTTTGCCTATAGGAGGGAGAGGTAACAATGCTGAGTTTTAAGCTGGGTGTGGTCCCCATATCTTTAATCCCAGCACTTGGAAGGCAGAGGCAGGGGATCTGTGAGTTAGAGGTTAGCTTAGTCTACACAGTGAGTTCCCAGGATAACCAGGGCTATGTAGAGAGATCCTGCTTCAAAAACAAATAAACAAGTAGCACAAAAACCAAAACCAAAACCAAAACCAGTGTTGAATTCTTGTGTATCTGGACAGCTAATTGGGGACAGCAGCTGAAGACCCAGAGGGTCCACTCCTAAGCAAGAAGCTCTCCCTTCTAGTTTCCATTATAATACAGCACCTGAGTGAAAAAGGAACGTTTGTCTTATCAAGACCCAAACCAGGGGATGGGGAGACGGCTCATTGAGTAAACTGTTTGCTGTGTGAGATCAGGTTTTGGATCTTCGGCACTTACAATAAACCTATGTGGAGTGGAGTGTGCCTGTAACCCCAGCACTGGGAAGGATCCCAGGAGTTCAGTGGCCAGCCATTCTAGCCAAAATGATGAGATATAGAATCAGTAAGAACTTATTAAAAAAAAAAAAAAAAGTTAGAGAGTAATAGAGAAGACACCTGAAGTTATCTCTGGCCTCCATGTGCACACACATAAGCAAGTCTACCACCCCTCTCAGCACATGTACACACATGCATATACCACAACACAAAGACTCAAATCACAGAGCAGCATTCTAGCCCAGGTGGGATGTGACCATTGCAGTGAAGCTAGGGGGCCCTTAAATGGCTGGGAAGAGGACAGACTAGCATGAAGACTCCAGTGTAGGTGAGGTGCTTCCAGAAAGTTCTGTTCAGAGAAGATACCCGCTGTTTGTAGTGCTTTTTCAAAGGTCCAACAGAGGCCCAGAAAGGGAGCAGCTATCACTGATGATGAGTGTGGCCATGGCCGCCTGACTTGGCTCTTCCCTGAGTGGCTCACCATACTGACCACCTGCCTTCCCTCCTTTTGGCCCACAGTACAGTTTGACATGATGCGTGCTTGCAACCTGGTGGCCACAGCCGCACTTGCTGTGGGCCAGCTTACCTTCGTCCTTGGGCTGACGGGCCTACCCCTGATGTCACCAGAGTCCCAGTGCTGGGAGGAGGCGATGGCCGCTGCATTCCAGCTGGCAAGTAAGTACCCAGGGTGGGAGATTAGCCACACTGTGGCCCCCGTAAGGCTGGAGGACCTGCTGGGGCTTTCTGATATCATGGAGGGAGAGCACCCCAGGGCCCTGCGGGGCAGGCTCTTTACTTGTCAACCCATTTCTGTTCTAAAGGTGGTTCTAACATACTGAAGTAAGGTGCTCTGTTTTTCCTGGTCTACAGAATCTGCACTACATTTGCCCTTCTAGATGTCAGACGCTAATTTGAAGCAGCTGGGGAAGAGCTGGCTTATGCTGGGCAGAGGTGGGAGTCAGGCCCAGCCTGGTTCCAATCAACCCAGTTGATGGCCACAACAGAAGGCAGGGTTTTGTTGTAAGTGAGGCTTCCTGGGGCCTGACCTGGGCTCAGCACACACCCTTGCTCATGACCAGTGAGCTCATGTAAACATGTTATACACAGCCTGAACGGACAACAGATGTCCACCCATGCATGCATACATGCTCCTATCGCAGCTGTAACACAGATGCAGACCATAACCTGGCCTTGCATGACATTGGGCCATCAGAGAGCAGTGTTGCCTTTCAGTACTGCATCAGCCACCCACCTGCCTAGTGATCTGGGGGACGGACACTGTGTGCGAGATTAGAAAATGTGGGAGCAAATTTGCTGTTACCTGTTTATATGCTCCTCACTATGTAGTCCTGACTGGCCTGGAACTCACAGCTATCTGTAGCGAGGCTGGTCTTAATTATCTGCCTGCCCCTGCCTCTTGAGTGCTGGGATTAAAGGCATGTGCGGCCATGCCTGGCTGAAAATTTCGCTTTTAAAGGATAAGAGTGATGTCACCACAAGAAATGACCCACAGAATTGTGGAAGGTTTAGACTGGTGGTAGAAGTCATGGCAAGCTGTCCAACTGTGACCCTCCTCCCAGTGACCAGGGGTTCCACCTCTCCATTCTGTGGGCTCAGAGCTCTTGGATCGTGAGCAGCTAGGTGAAGTTCAAGCCTCCTGAAGCACACTGAGGATGTCAGCTATTCGGTCTACAGACAGAAATGAGGGCCCACAGGTGCACAGGAGGAGCAGGGTGTGGACACTCTCAGTCGACCTTTCCTTTTTGGTCTAGAATGCCAGCCATTCCTGTATCCAGTGTACACTCCTAACAGGGGAAATGGCAGGAAGTCTGAAGTGAATCATTCTAGGAATAATGGATCCTGGGCCTTTATCTTTCTTGAGAAACAGTTTCCAGAATGAGGCTGACCGGTATTTATGTACTGGAGAACGCCTGGTGGGAGTCAGGAAACCCTGCTACCCTGGATGCTAAGAATAGTGTGGCGGAATGGTCCTGGGAAAGTCACTTCCCTGTGGCCAGTCAGAGGCAGGAAGGGGTGGGGGTGGGGTGGGGGTTTGGGAGGATTGTGAAGGCTCTGGAAGAACCCAGGGCTCAGTGGCACGGGAACTGGATTTGTATCTTGGCTCTAGCTATGTGAATGTGAGCCAGTCAGTGAGCCAGCTGCGGTTTACCCAGCTGCAAGACAAGGTCATTTCTGTGACTCCCACTGGATATGAGGAACACTGAGATGAGACATGCAGATGTGACTGAGGGTCAATCCTATCCTCTTCCTACCCTCACCACTGAAGGTACAACACGGGACATGTTTAGAAGTTTCTCACTTTGTCCTCTACTGACCACACAACAAAACAAACAGCTCTTCCCACTGAAGTGAGGGCCTCCACCATGTGAATCTACCCTCTCAAGAAGGAAATGGAAGACTTTGAAAGCATCACAGGAAAAGCTGAGTTTTAAAATGGTATCTTGCTAGGAATGCATGTCTTTAATCCCAGCATTCTAGGGGCAGAGGTAGGCAGATCTCTGTGAGTTCAAGGCCAACCTGGTCTACATAGCAAGTTCCCAGCCAGCCAGAGTTACATAGTGAGACTCTGTCTAACACCTCCCCCCACCCGCCCGCCCGCTCAAATAATAACAAGTGAAAAAAAAGACATCTTAGTGGCAAAGAAAGAAAAAGAACAATAGCTCTTTCATTGCTGTTGTCTTCCCTCTTCAGTGGTCCTTGACTGTGGAAGTAACTACTGCTAGTGTGGTAGTCAACCTGATTGCTGCCTTTCTTCCTTAAACATCCTGAGACTCTTCTCTGGAGTCTTCCCAACTTGCATGGGTCTGCTAGCAGGCCTGACAATGGCCTCCTGCAGGCATCTGTTTTATGAGAAAACAGTGTTGCTTCCAAATATTCACTGAAGAGAAACCAAAGTGAGGAAAACTTCCATGAACTGAAATTCAATTATCTTCGACAGTCTTGGAGGGGATGGATCGGGGCCTCCTGAAGGGTGCTGGGGTTAGTACACCCCTACTTTGAATATTTCGAGGCCAGCCAATCTCTGGAGAAGTTAGATCATCTCTGTCCAAAAACTCCCCAACAGCTGGAGACCAGCGGAAAACGCCAGAGCAATGAGGGCGGTGGCCCCTGGGCCGGTTTGGGAAGCTTCTCATGCCTCCCAGGCTGCCTTGTCCCTTTGCATCTGACTGTCACCCTGACAGGTGGCCTATTTAGACTGGTTCCATTGACAAACAGTACAGAGAGCAACTATGTGCCTTTCTTCTATCACACTGCTAATTTTAGAGCTGGGTTTTTTCCTGTGCTTGGGTCTGTTTTAAAGCCAGGGAGAGACTGTGGGGCGCCAGGATGTCCTGTCACAGGACGAGGAAACGCCTGCTATTACCTGTTGTCAAGAGGACCAGTGCTGGGGTGAGGTGGGTGGGCAGGGGGAAGAAGATGCGAATGGAAGAGGAAAGTATATGGGATTGACTGAGGCGGTTGGGAAACCCTGGAAACCAGCAGAGGCAACAACCCGAAGGGTGGACTCCCTGTTTGCCTGTGCTCTCACTTGCTGCTCACTCTACAGCTCTGGGCACCAGGACCATATTCCGCACAACCCTGGGATAGTAAAAGGACCACCCCTCCCCTGTAAGAACTGCAGCTCTGGGGACCCTTTCTCAGCAACATCAGGGAGAGCTGTGTGAAGCTACTGTTTCAGGGGTTGTCAGCAGTCTCCTGTGGTTTTACCCTTATATATTCAACCCAGTAGATGCAATGGCATTTCCAAGGTCTGCTAAGGACTTTCCAAGTCTAATTTTGCTTCACCTGCAAGATGGAAAAATTCCTTCATGACCCTTATTCCATGCCCTCAACAGTCTGCTCACTGAAATTCCAAACTTTTCCCTGTGACAGCAGCATGTCTGTCAGGGAGCTTAAGAGAGAATTCAACATAGTTAAGAGAAGTGCCCACGAAAGTCTCAGGGAGACAAGGAGGGCACGTGGCTCCGACAGTATTTCCTCTACCATCAGGCAGCTCCACACGGGCTGTCTTGCTCTTTCCACTTCCTTTTTCTCTCTTCTCCTCCCTGTTTGGCTTTCTGTGGTAACTAGCACAGCATAGATTTAAAAATGCAAGGGTTTTCCATTGTCTCCCACCCAAGGCCCATTTAGTGTGATGATCAGTTGACTGTCGGCCCATGAAGATACAGAATACAGAACCCTCTCAGCAGTGCCCAGGGCAACTGTGCACTCATGACCCCGGCAGGAGGGTCTGTAAGGAGAAGCTGGACCTGCCAGATCCTGAGCGTTTGGCTCCAAACATTGGGTCGAGTGCTGATTTTTGGCTTCTCCATGGAGGTCCATGTTTCTGTGAGCTCAAGCCCCCACTCTGGCGCCCATTTCTACTTCCTGTGCTCTTCACTTCTCCTCTCCCTTTGCTGCATCTTTCATGGTCTGTGACGGTGACTTTTTCTTATGGTGCTGGGTATTGAACTCAGGGTTTCCCACATGCTAGCAAGCACCTAACCACTGCGCTACACTCCCAGGCCCTTTTTCAATTTGTATTGTAGCTCAGGTTGGCCTGGAACCCCCCAGGTAGCATAGGCAGGAGGGAGAGCAGCAATGAATGTGTAAGGACAAGTGGCCTGAGAAGGGGTCAGCCTGTGTGGCCTCTGGCTCTTCACTGGCACTAAGCGGCACCTGGAGCAGAGAAAGGAACCGGGGTGGGTTCACAGCTCTGCTTGGGAGGCACCTCAGTGCTACATGGCTCTTGAGGACTTCCAAATTCTTCAGGTGTGTCCCAGCTGGAGTGCAGGCTCTAGGCCATAGGTTCCACACCTGGCTCTGCTCACTACCACTCCTTGTTAGAATCCCTTCACCTATGTTGTCTGAATATGAGGTGGGGCACATGACCTTCTTTTTGATCCATAGGTACACTGTCTTCAGGATGTCACCAGTGCTGTCACCCTTCCCTAAAACCCTGTGGTGACACCCACACTGAGGAGACACCACCCCCAATGTATGTTTTCTGTGTCCTTGAGTGTAGAACCTAGGCTCTCCTGCCACTCACTCTGGGTGGGTGAACTACCCTTCCCTCTAGAGTCGGTCAGTTCTGCATATCTCTGGAGTGGCCTTCCTGCCTATTCCTCTAGTATTCGCAAAGATGTGGTCCAGGCCTCACTAAGCTGGGTCTGAAGATAAGATTCTTGGGGGCCAATGATTTAATAGGATAAAGTTGCACATCCAAAGTGCAATTCCTCTGCCATCATTAGAGCCTTGCTCTCTGAGGAGCCCACTGTGAGGATACTACATACAGGGGAAAGCTGGTTAGGTCATCACTACCCCTTAGTCATGCCAGTGTGGCACTACTGATACACGCACGGGCTTATGGCATCCTCCATATGGAATGCCAGGCTTAGAAAGTTCAACAGTTTGTTTTGGGAGCCAGAGAGATGGGAACTGAAGGCCTCAGAAAATGACTGTGAATGTGTAATCCTGAAGGCCATGCTTTGCACCTGAATTCTTACTTAAAAGCTCCTCTTCTACCCATTACCATTATGGTTTACATAACCCATTTCCAAATCTCTTTGGGCAATGGTCCTAAACATGGCATATAGCATCAATTTGTCCTCCCGATGCCGAGGGGCATCTAGGGAGCATATGGGTTGTGTAAGTTATTTCACAATTAATTACTT